ACTAGTTGGAAGTAGATTCATAGCCGATTCGGAACCTACATGTAAGGCATGAAAATGAATATTCACATATATTGAGGCAGATTTACACGAGTTCGTGTTTACATATACATTCTAATGTACATTTACTGGCGTTAAGTGTTGCTGCACATAGTTTGCGTCTTAAACACGCTATTTCTGCAGCGCGCTTGTAATTCGTAATTCGCGTATTTTATCCGCGTGTTAATGTTGCCCTACAGCTGAACGGTAAAATAACTGGCTGCTGTGATGGGAATTCCAGGAAATTAAACAGGTTTTTATTGAAAGTACTGCACTAGCTGATGTCATTCATTTACTGTGCTTTACTGTAGATTACAGAGAATGATGTTCTTGATGTCTTGGAAAGTGTTCTGTACAGCTCCCACTCAACTTCGATCACCAGAGATTATGCATTAACTGCCGTCATGAAACTCAGCACACGTTTCACCGCGACAATGGAGTGAGTGAAGCTGAATAAATTTGAATTAACCTTCGCGATTGGCTATCAACTTTAATGACGACATTTTGTTGAAAATTTTAACCACCAGCTGACTGACAAATTGAATTTTTTTTTGTGTCTTTTCAGGCGGATTAAGAATGTAATAAACCAATTCGAAGTGAACATGGATGTTGAGCTGCAGCAGAGGGGCGTAGAGTTTGGTTCGCTCTTTAAAAATCATGACAGTATGAGGTAAAATGTTTTTATTTTAATCATGTTGAAAATCAATCAATGGCTTTCTGATTACAGACCAGTTTAGGTGCTGTTTTTTTTTCTGATGATTGATGAGTTAGTGATGGTTGACCGTTGATTACTGCACCCGCCAACTTCTTGAAGTAACCATGCTTTGTAAGGAGAAGCCCGACTTAGACTCAAACCTTTGAATCCGAACTGCATCGATATAGCTTAGAGAATGATTTTCTTTTATCCTTTCCAGGCCGGCTCTTTTGGAAAAGATGCCTGTCATGGAATCTAAGCCTGTGTCTTCTGAGCCAGTAACAAATGGAGAAGTCACAACACAACCAGAAGAACCACAAACGACTCAAGAAGGTACATAGGAGCTTCTGTTCTTACGCATCAAGTTAACTCTGTCACTGACTTTTTCCACTGCCTGTACTCTTGCCTGTACATTGGACGACACATCACCCCTAATATTACATTAATCCATTATTGCAGTATAATTTTGCTAAGTCGCAGTTTCTTCCGCCTTTCTTTTGCATTACAGCTGTTACAGAAGAGAAACCACCTAAGCAAGCGGTAAGCCGTGAAAACGCTTTTTTTTTTGGCTCGTAGGAGCCAAACCAGTAATAACTGGTTAACTTCATGACCTGCACACTACGAGAATCAGAAATAATAATAATAACTTGCATACTACGAGAATCAGAAAGGTCGGAGGCTTCCCACGTTTAGATAGTAGGCTTAAATTGAACTTGGTCCGGACTGTTAAGTCTAGTCAGTTTGCTTTCAGAAAAGAGTGTTCGACTCGCAAATTGAAGGAAAAACGCTCCATTTGTTTCTGAATTTCTCCATATTTGACCAACCTGTGTTTTCTCTCGTCAGTCGGAGACTTTGTTGGATTTACTTGGTGGTGGCCCCACCCAGCCTGAACCTACTCCCGCTCCAGTCCAACCTCCAGCTCCTGCGTCTTCATCCGGTGGTGACCTCTTAGATTTGCTAGGAGGTCTGGACCTAGGCTCAACGAATGCAGGTTAGTTCAACCGCAAACGATGCGGTTTGAAAGCACCTTTCGATTGGTTGTCGTCAAACCAATACTTAAAATAATCACGATGCGTGAATGGAGCAGGGTTCGATAAGTATCACATGAAGCTAGTGACAACTCGAATAACCACCAAAAAACTGGCCTCGAAAGCGGGAAACTCTGAGTGACAAAGGCTCGGTTGTTTTTTTCCTTGGCAACCATCATCTTAAGTTCAGTGTTGCTGGAAACCTTGCAATCAGGGTGTGAAAATATTTTGAAAATATGTAACGACAGCTTGCAAAAAATTTCAAGGAGATTTTAAAGAACGAACAGGTTTTTAAGAAGAATTTCATGTCCATTGAAACTTTTGTAAGGTTGCTTATGCAAGTATTCTAAGTCAAAAGTAAAGAGCGGAGTCCTTTATGATTTCAGCATATGCCCAGTTTCATCATACTAGTTCTACAACACGACCCCAAAACTTCTGTAAGAGCTGATGGGATTAATAGATGGTGGCCAGATTTCTCAACCAATCTCAGATTGCACAGTCACGGATTACTTGAAAGTTTTCCAATTGAAATTTTTTCTAGGCAGCACCATACAGAACACCATACCAGGACAGAATTTCTCCTTACAATATCGATACAAAATCAAGCACAGAAGTGATGAGATTGAAGAAAATTATCAATTGAGGGCTCATTAGCTGATCCAATATGAAATGCTCTGAAGTAACATCATAAGAATTATATGGGAGACAGTAGGGAGTATTTCTACTTGGATCTTAGGATTGAAAGAGTTAAATCATAAGTGTCACTCCGGCCAATCAGTTGCTTGTTTTTTCCTTTGGTGCCAGGTCCCCCTCCGATGAACATAATGGCTCCTTCATCAGCTGTTCCTAACCTGTTGGATGGCGGTGGACTGCTGAATCCAGCACCATTAGGAGTACAGGTTCCAGTGCAGATGAACCATCAACCTGTCGCCTCACTGACTCCAAATTCTTCTTCAGGTTAGTTTATAGACCTTCGTTACAATGAGTGGCAAGCACGCCTCCCTATGGTAATCAGTCGATTACTTTCCACTCAACATGATTAACAGAAATCTTGTAATTAATCTCTAATGAGTTATCTAAAAGTCGCTGCCCTCCACCCCTCCACCCCCCTCCACGTTTACTACGTAGCCGGTGGTCCATGCTCAAGAGAGATGGAGAATGAAAGCAACGGGATGCGTTGCAAAGCTTCCCGTGAGGAATTCTTCCCTCCTTGATGCATAAAGCTCACGCAAAACGGCGTCGGAGCTAAGACATCTTCTAATGTGAATTTTGTTTGCTAGGTTTCCCGCCCATAACAGCCTTCGAGAAAAATGGTTTAAAGATAATTTTTGCGTTCGAGAAGGTTCCTGGTAACCCGTCTAATGTGGTGTCCATCATGGTAACGGCCACGAACTCGCTCGCTTTCCCCATGACTGATTTTGTTTTCCAGGCAGCAGTACCTAAGGTATGCAATCAGTCCTTCTTCAGTTTATTTTAAGCGATTGTCTTTGGGGAAACATGGGTGTCAGTAATTTTTCCATAAGCGGCTGCCGGTACCGTTAGGCAAAAAATAGATATGAGAGTCTGCTCGCAGGGTTAACAGACGGCGGTAAGAAGTCTTATAGGCGTAGGTAGATCGCTGGCAACTGGCTTTAAATGGAACTTCTGATAAGTGCAGCCAAAAAAGTGGTCAAATTCGAGCGAGTTGAGCATCTTTTTCTCTTGACAGTAAAGTGAAGTGACAAGCACGCCCTGCAGTCAATGACTTGTTGTTTTGTTCGTCCACAGACTTTCCAGTTACAACTCCTAAGCCCGTCTGGTAATGTGATGCCACCCAACAACTCAGGAACCATTACCCAAGAAGTGAAGGTGGCCAATCCACAACAGGTGAATCAGTCGGCTATTTGTATGCCTGCCCTGTTCCTAATAACATCTTTTCTTTCTCGGCCTGAACTGCCTATTTGATTCAACGCTTTTAGGGAAGGATTCCAAATCACCCGAGTGAACTGTTGGCAATTTCTTTGACACGTGATCGCGATTTGCGACCCGCCGGATTGGTTAATTGAGCTGCACCCACGTGATCAATGTTTTCGTGTTTAATTTCTTTGGCAGTATGAATACTAATATAGCATAAGCCGTTCTTTGAAAACTAACCTGTTAGTGTATGGACAACGAGACTTTTCTAGGTTACACTTTGTCACGAACGAACATGCTCGAGACGAGGACGCGTGTCGATAATTTGGGCTCAGAGAGGCATTGTAATCCAGTAATTTTTCTCAACAGAGTTATTCCTTTTCCTTTTTTGGAATGAAAAACTTACACGCACATTTAATGTCAAGATGTCTGCTGCTAAAGTTGTTTCCTTTTGCTCTTGCCTATGATTCAAAGAGGAAATTGCCTTAAAGCCGTTGCTCAACTTGTCTTTTCATTTACCAGCTAAATTTAGCCTTTGTGTGACAATGAAATCCACCGTTTGTTTCCTTTATCTAAGGGGGATTTAGAAGTGTGAGAAGGGCGTCAGCTTTATTGAATCATCAAAATGATAGACTGACACCCTTCCTTTCAGACGGTAAACATCGGAAGGCTCGCTTGTCAGTGCTAGCGACAAAACAACCCTGTACAGTTCTTTAAGAGAAACGTATATGTCTGGGAGAAGTTAGCCGGGGGCATAACACGTGTTTGTTGTTTTCATTTCTGACTTCCCGTGCAGCCTACAGGATGTCGAATATGACAGTTTGAAGCGACTTCCACGCACGTGTTTCCAAAACCATTTTCAACGTGTTCTAGGGAGATGTTCTGTCGAACATATTCTTTTCCCACGTGTAGAGTTTTTTTTGTCCATTTCTGGTAGCATACGTGTTGTCTTTAACTCAAGCACTTCGTCTCTTCACTTGATTGATGTTTGTCCTTTGTATCTCTTGTTGTAGCTTCAGAGTTCTTTGTCTGTTTTGGCGGTGGTCTTGTTTTGTGGTTCTTTTGATGTTGACAGTTTGATTCCTGTGTTTTCGCTTGTCGGTCTTTTTTGCGGTTTTTAACAAATGTTTTGTTTCGCACGGCCTTAAAATAAACTTCCTCTAATGAACAAGTTATTGCTTTGTCTGTGATTTATGCAAAGTAGTACTCAATTATGGCTGCCGCGCTGGTGGTAGGTGTTAGTAAGGTAAACTTTTCTAAGTTTTGGAACTAAAATTGATTCCGCTCTGCGAACAGGTTTCGGTAACTTTCGTCCTTTTTTTGTTTGGGTTTTTTTGTGCTTTTTAAAGTCAACTAATTCATGGTCTCAGAGGACAATAAATAATGTAACGTGAACACCCTCTTGCTGAGTCAATGAGTTGTTCAGCCCTTAAGTGATTAAAAATGAAGAAATCAATCATAGTGATTTTTTCAACTTAAAGTGTTTGCAAAAGGTTCAAATGCTTTCAAACACGAGGCGCTGTTTAATCTACGTGACAACTTTAAACAACAGCCACGAAGGAAACAGGCGTGTAGTGCAACTTATTCTCTGTCACCACGTGCGGAATCGTGCGCGCAGTCTCGTCTTTGAGTGTTTTGAAGGTAAATTACTTTTAAATCACTTCTGACAAGTTCACGACTAATATGTTTGTTCTGTTGGCTTGAAGCAAAGCTCTCGGGAGTTAATTTATCCTTTACTAGCACGTTTAATATAAGCATTTCGACTGCCTTTTTTTTTTTGGACGCTTTCAGTCACAGTTCTGCCAATGGCGGTTCTGCATGCATCAGTGTGTATCTTAGCATTCGCCAAAACGCCTTCGTGTTGACAGAAGTCTATGTAGATGAAAAATTATTTTCCCAGTAGAAGGGGGAAGTACTTTTGCGCCAACCAAGACACATTTTCTTTCTAAAATTATCCATATGCAACTGCACGTAAATGAAGTTCATCGTACACTGAACTACGATACCAAAACGTAAAAATGGCTTTCGCCTCGTTTTCTGTCTGTTTGGATCAATATCAATATCTGGGCAACTGCCCACCTACCCCTCCCCTGACCCAACATTAACCTTCAGTTGACTGTTGTTGGGTCAGGGGAGGGGTAGGTGGGCAGTTGCCCAGATACTGATACCGATCCGGTTTATTTTATAACAAAGCATTAAAAACACTTCACAGTGTACATTTTTTCGAATAATATAGATTATTAGTATAATTATTATTATTATTATAATCATTTTGAGTTTTCCATCAGGCTTTCATTAATATTCTTTACAGTTCTTATCTGAGACAACAAGGAACTAATAATAAAGTAAATGTTTGCCTCCTTTTGCTATTCGACGTCAATTTAACATCAAAGGGTTGGGTGGTTTTCTGATCGTGATATGCGTCTCAACGCAGTTATGCGTGTGAGATCCTGCAATACCGTATGTAGAAAGACCGTGTTTGAAATGTTGTTTAAGAAGCTTAACGGTCAAAAGGAAATTTGTGCACTGGTACACAGGCAGAGAATTTCGTTCTCATAACTCCCAATTAGTGCGGTCTAAATGTTTCGGTTGCACATACGTAAACCGCAGAATTTGTAAAAGTGTGTCACTATTGTGGTAACCCTTTTCTTTCGTAGCAGTTTAAAAATGCTTATACAACCCTTAAAACTTTCGCTGATACACTACTCATTGTTTCTACAGCAACCGTTGCGCATGAGGCTAAAACTGTCGTACAAGGTGAATGGGGCCCCAGTCAACGAACAAGGGGAGGTGAACAGCTTTCCTCCGGGACTCTGACGTCCACGACATTGGGTCATTATATGTAGAAATTATATTTTGTATTGTAAAATGCTTATCGATGTGTATTCAGTAATCAGAGGCCTGGATGCTGTCTGTAGACTTGGGTTGCATACCGTTTAGAACATGGAATTGAAACTGCAGTGGTACAGAAGACTTACGTGGTCATAATTGAAGATTATTAAGGGGAATTTTTATATTGACACCAGAATGACTATTCTTTTTGTCTCCTCAAGTGTAGTGAGTCGATGGTAATCTCTAGCATTATGCGAGACATGTTTAAAATCATTTATCGTACTTCCATATTCTGTACTTCTGTAGTTCCAGGGTCCAGCCCAACCACACTATTTCAAAGCATTCACAGCTAGGTTGTGAGTTTTTGTGGTGCCTTCACTCAGGATTTCCCTTCCCCTGTAGACAAAGATGGCTACGAGAGATTTCAGAACGGGGATTGGTTGAGGCAGGAGAGGGGGGAAGGGGTCAAAAATCAAACGGTTGCACAGCCCACACTGAAAATTGTTACTCTTCATTCTGGCCGTTACGGTTGTTTCCTCCAGTTAGCTGAAAAGTAGAGAGAAAGAAAAAATTAATAAATGAGACAATTATGAGGCAAACGAGAAAGATTGCTCCTCAAACACATGCTTGAAAAAAAAAAAAAAACCTTCTACATGTAGATGGCTCTGAAATTGCGCAGTTACGTAATTTGTCATGTGGTTACGTTTTTGGCACTCATCATATATTAAGTTCTGCTCACCAGCACCCTCGACTGCTAGTAGCTTCACCATTCTGTTTTCTCTGTTTGTTGGTGACGTTACCTTACGATTTCCTTAAAATAGGGTAACTAAAAGAAAATAAATTGAGTTTTAAAGATACACAGCAGACTAAGAAAGTGTCCAGATTTGTCTTTTTGTTCTTTTTTTTTTTTGGTTTGTTTTTGTCTTTTTTTTGTTTTTTGTTTTTCACTCTGATCTTATGCGAGTCAAGTTAGGCGTTTCCATCGATCGAGAGCGTTTTTGCTGTCGAAGTTATTCGAAATTTGACAAAAAAACTTATTTTCTGTTGAATTAATTGTCAAAATATTTAAAGTTTGCTGGAAACTGAACACTTGTGTACTTTTTACAGAATGGTCTGTTGTTGATCTGAAAGTAGAGGAGGATTTTTCTCGAAGTGGTCTTGCCAGGCAAGATCTAACCATGTTGAGATGGAGCAGTGTTCAAAGACTGTTTTAGTGTAGACATGATGAAATGTAGCCTTTTTAAAAAATGATGTTATATGTGTAACATCTGATGTGACAATAAAGCTCAGAGTTAACAAAATGATGTAAAAGATTGTCTTTCGTGTCTAAAATATACTTGAAAAATAATGTAAATTAAAAGGCAATTGAGGAATGTGTTTTGTATCGTGACTATGGAAGCACTAGGGATGAATTCTTTCGAGCCAAAAGATAGTAGCAAAGGACACTTTCTGACAAGATCCAATGCTAGGATTACGTCTAAAATGTCGTTCATACACAGGTAATGACATCTGACCACGAATGAACAACCATGAACTTTATCATGGTATTTAACTTCTCTTTTTGACTATTCTTCCCAGTAAAGCATTATTTGATAAAAGATTAACTAAATAAGTCGAAGAGATAATCGTCAAACACAATCGTTGACACTTAAAAAAAAAGAGACGAGAGTCATCGTGCGCGCGGGAACACAAACCCTTCGCGATTCCTCCCTCGCGCCTCCCATAAATTCAGATAAATTCGCAGCTTCTCATAAATTCAGCCAGCTTCCAAAAGTGATAAGGCGTAATAGTGTTCATTCTCCTTCTCGTGTAGTTGTGAATTTTAGTCAAAAACGAGAGTAATGGCGTAATGTCGATTTAAAACTGAATTCACCTTGAACTTATCGTTTTCGGGTGCTGTTCAATTTCTTCAGCTGGCATTCATTGCTAGAGAAAAATGACCTTTTGTGATTTGAAGCCATACATACCCAGACATACTGTTTTGTCTGCCAAGACTGAGTTAAAACAAACTTCTTTTTCTCAATGATGTCTGGCTTTTTTAATTTTAATCGATTTAAAATAAAGGCAATGAAAAGTTTATTTATGGGAGACACCTGAGTTTAAAGTCCAATTTAAATTGATTTTAAAAAAATAATTGAATTTTACACCAAAATAATTAAGATACCTCTTCATGGTCGTCTGGTTCCAATTATTTAACAAAAAAGTGTCTTTTCACTCTTCCTCTCCGCCCTTAGGCCCCTTAAACTATGACTTCCCTCAAGTAATCCATTTTATCGGTAAAATATTCCATCAAGTCCGCCTTTAGCCAGTTACCATTTATAACGATACATGCTTAATATTATGCCCACAGCATAGTGGTATCTATCTCAGACTAACGGAAACAGGCATTTGTTCTATTTGGCACCATTGAACTTTGGCTGACCGGATCAAAAATTGAACAGACACCTGACCGAGAACAGGTAAAAGGCTTGTGAAAGCAACTGTTGTGGTATCTCGCGTCCAATCAGTCTGCTGCTTTGATATGCGATGTTATTAATTCTAACACAAAGCGACTTCTTTACCCATCTATCAAATTAATATCAAACCAATGACAGAAACTGTTCAGGGCCTCTGCATACAAAAACCTAAAGGTGTCAGCTTTAGAATGAATACTCTCAAGCTTTTTTTTGTCCTCTCTATAGAGAAATTTAACTTCGATAAGCACTGCTAGAAAAATAGGGCAACCTCCTTTAGTTGAAGCCCTTGAATTTGACGAAATACGTTATTCAAACACTTTTGTTTGGTGCTCTGAACTAACCACAAGTGCAAGCCACCATTAGAAGACCCTTATATTTCCCTTTGTCAACAGAAATAATTGATGATGGCGCAGGTTTGTGTAGACACAGCTCAACGCCAGGTCTGTATGCTGGATGCTAGCTGTACACCTTCGGCTTCGCATCCTTCGCTTTGCTTCCCATCGAGTTCAGAGAACTCAATTATCTAGAGGTTTACAGGTAATTTGGCGAGTTTGTTTCACACTCGATCTCTAGGTTTCTAGTTTAACAACAGGGAGATGCTGGAAATCAACACTAAACAACGCCAGACTTACATGAAATATCAAAGGCTACGTCTACTATGAATAGGTCTATGACCAATTTTTAATGTCGGGACCTTTCCCGGTGAAAAATAAAACCACTAACAAAATACCGTCATGCTACCCTCTAAATAAATGGTTGATCCACCGGACCCCCACCCCCCTCCCCCATAACAATTCGTCAGGTCCCCTGACAAATGAGAATTGCTTATTTCCACGAGAAGCTGTCAGAGTGTGATGTATTCAGTGCCCGTGTCCACGGAATAGTGAAAGGATTCTTGGCGGAACAAAGCAAGGTGCGGTATCGCTTGTATTGGCATTAAAATTAAAATCTTCTATAGCAGCTGGAAGATTCATCACAACACAGATGCCACTGCTGAATGGAAGTCTGAGTTTTTAGCTCAAAGGATCAAAGCGCTTTTATGTTTTACACGCAAACAGATCAGCGCATCATTTTCAGGCGTTTACCTCTTGAACATGGCTGCCGGAAATGCTCTTGCCCTTGTAAACTTCTAGAACAGATTTTTGGAAGTCGTAGAGAACCTTTATCTATATATTCCTGTTAGGAACGCAAGTACCGGAAATTTTTTAACCATGTGCACATTTCCTGAATGACACTTTCCGCCGGCTGGTTAAATATTTTATCGGGCTTCGTTTTACACGATCTGAACAGTTCCTTTGTTTCCAGAAAAATGAGAAACATTGCTTTACACTTAGATGACCTTAAAACATTGATTCGGCCGCAAACGAAGATAAATCATGTGATTATAAGAAAAAAATTCCGGCTGCTGAAGAAGAAATTTGCTCAAAATTTCGTCTGACCTACCACTGGATTAAATCTCTTTCGATGTGTCCTCGAAAAAAGAGGAGTGTGTTGATTAATTGCGGTTTCCTCCATCTCAGTCTGCGGTGCCCCAACAAGGTATTCCCTAACTGATCTACTTTTAGCCGGGTATGGGCTGCAACTAAGTGTATTAGGTTTGTTGATCAGTGCGGCCTCCATTAACCGAGATTAATGGTGTCAGAAACAAATTCCATATATCAGAACGGCCTGTAAATATCAATATCGCCTCACTCGAGAATTTCAAAATTTGGGCTGATCGACGGTTGGGAGCGAAAGTGCTGAACATTACCACGGCTAGGTGGTTGAGTGCCATAAACGGTTCCTCGACATTAAAGAGCGTTATCTAACCATTCATAATAGACTATCTGCAAGCTTGCAATTTGCGATAGAAGACCATTTCTAAAGGTGCACTCCGGCGACGCTTACTACATAGGCATGTAATATTTTCTACCTCGCTGACGGGTTCTGGCCAAATCGGAACTCGATAGGGTTCAATACAAACAAGCGTTTTTTCTTTGACACACGTGCATGGGAAATGTTTAACATCTTTCTTCAAATGTAAAAATTTTTCATCGCCCAAATCCGCTTAAATTTTTTTTTCAGTGATTACATAATTCACATTTCGTCGCGCATAGACCAACATTTTACGATCTTCATATTTCGTTTTGAGGATGTGTATAAGATTTGATAATGAAGATGCGAATTGAAATAACTTCATTCGAAGATTCGATATTCATGCAAAGTTCTCAGACTTTGGGAACTTCTCATACATGCGAGGGTCTCAGTCAAAAGGTAGCTAGGATGGCTGATAGTTATAGTTGCGAGTTTAAATATATCACTCTTGTGTGAAAACATTGCAATTCAAAAGCTAATATATCACAAAAATGAAGGCAAAAGAGAGTATGGCAACTCTAACCTAATATTTATCTGTCATTGGAAGTGCAATGTAATAATCTGACTAAAGCGACGGTAACGATACGGAATTCTGTAGCCAAAACAGTTTAGTCGCGGTCGAATTTTTGTAAACGGGCGGTCTCGGCTTCTCCAGAGTCTAAGATTTTATCATCCACCGCCCTTTTATGGACTGGCGCATTTCGGAGGTCAAATGCACACCCGGTACTGAGCATCGCAGAGATTTTACTCGCGGTTTACGTTTTTTGTAGCTAGACTTGTAAAAAAGTTTACTTTAAAGCGTGAGAGCATCGATAACATAAAGCTACAAATTCCTAAAGAGCACAACCGAAATGTCTCAAAATACCTCACCAGAAACGCTGCCTACAGATGAACAGACAAACGCTAGAGAAGACAAGAGAAGAAGCGAGCAATCGAACGGAAATTAATTAAATGGCTTTGTACGTTCCGAAGGATCTCATAGACTTTTTCAGTTCGCTAAACTCAAGAAGCAACGGCGAGTTATCTTCAAAGTGGGAAATTTTGTTTCGCTAAGAACAAAGTAACTATTTGATGAAGTGTTCTCAAACATAGGGATTAGGTTCTCAAAGTGTTGCGATGCATTGTTCAAATTATGAATAAAAGCGACAATAGCAATTTGTTGACTGTCAAAGTGATGATTGACAATCATTTCTTGTGATTTTTAACAGGTTGAAACTGGCATTACATGACTGAAAGATGATCCAATTGCTCAGTCTCTTGAACAAACTAAAACGGAACATAGAGCAAATTTTCAAACCTGCAAATTAAATTATGTTAATACATTTATCTGGGATCTCTTATAAATCAGATTCAGAGATCAGTACGCGTTGTAATTGCATTACCCATTTTGACATCTGCCGAAACTAGGCCTGAGCAGCGGAAACATTCCATCAATCCTGGTTTTATAGGGTCTTTATACCAATGCTCTCAAAACAAGGTTTAAAGATCCTTCAGGCGATCTAAAAAAATCTTCTCTATTAATTATTCTGGTCACGTTTCGAGAAATCAAAATAAAATCTGTTCTGTGCCAATGTCTTGTTTGGAATCCGTCGGAATTGAGTCATTTCTTGTTCCTAAACTTTTTGACCCTCAAGCAGTCATTGCGTGAGATCTCGCTGAAATGACAGCGTCTCATTTCAGCCAACAGCTGTTATAAAGCTCATGTCATCTGTCATGTTAACAAAGGAAAGAACAAGCTTCGTATTAAGTGAGTGTTAAAATTAGCGCATTTAAGCTGCGAAACTGTTATCGCCCAGCATCAAGTGTCAGACATAGCTGAGTGGAATGACCGAAACTTTGCTCCCGGGGCCAATACGAATCGACATATATTGTTTGATAAGTGTATAAACCTTTTTTTTCTTGGGCCGAAGCCAGTTTTGTGCAAGGCTCTTAAGGTGTTTCATCGTTTTGGGAGCTGTCGGCTTAAATGTTATTTACGACATAAATTATTATAGGATATTTTCCCTGTTACCTACAACGTGCAATTTTGCATGCTCAGTTGCAAACTCGCAAACGCATCGGCG